TTCACTCGTCACCGTGAGAATTAAGTTGACATGTACATACCTGTAATTGCACCAGCACTGTTACTCTTCAAAATCGAAACGCAGTAATGCTCACATTACTGCTTAACGGTAGAAATAGGTAAGGTGGCAATATTTCTCTGGACAAACTCTTTCACAAGGAGCTCTGTTGCTAACACAAAGATATCAATTATTCGCAAACATTACATTTAAGTACGTAATTAACTAAACTCTATTTGATAAAATGTGACTCAGAGTAACAACTCTACATTAAATTGCGTCGTTACGCCCAACAGACGAGAGTCAGGTGAGCTTTATTGCTAAAGCAAAGATCGGGGTGACGGGGTGCATTCCTGCACGAGTTTGTAAGACCACCCCCGAATGTGTCGCGACGGGCCCACCCCCAACAACTCCCTCGAATACACAACACCCAGGGGAAGTTGCGTGCTTTCCCCCGTTTCGGCGGCATGCAAATTTAATGTTGTTATTTTTATTCTGACTTTACAAGGGCAGTAGGGGTGCTAAAGTATGATAAAGGAGCATAATTTGAATAAATGGGTGCTGTTTCCTAAACACGTACAATATTTACACGCAAATTTGAAGTTATCTTTGGCTTTACTAACGAGTTGGGGAGAACATGCTTTTCTTAAAACACGACTTTTGTATTAGCTCACAGATTTTTACTTATATCATGGCTTATATCAAATTGTTTCTATTAGTGGTTTTATAAGAGGTTTTATAAAAGGCGGTATGTATATGAATCTCACTTATCTGTCTACTACTAACTATAAAATGTGTACGATAATATCAAGACGTCTCAAAAACAAGCTGTTCAATCTCGCACATTGCGTCATACAATATTCTAATGTATTCTGGTAAACACATGAATAGAGGCGGTTCGTGTAGGTGCAGTTAACGGCAAATATGTAAAGTTATGCAAAATGCACTCCAAAGCGAGCGGGCACGCAAAATTTGTGACGTACTCCCTTTGAATGTAGATTACTTCGTTATGAAATACCTAGATTGTAACTAAACTATTCTGCTACATACTCTTACTCTCTGCTACTGTTACAAGAATGTGTATTTTGTTAAACATTGTAAACTATGTGATTAAGAACCGTTTTCTCTGTGATGATAATATTTAAAAAGCTGAGCATATACCTATTCATCAAACATAGCAATGAACTATCCCGATTACATTGCTTATCGTTTAAATAAAATAAAAACCGCTTTATGATTAGTCCATTTGTTTGGAGCTGCGATACTACAAATACACAAATATAGGCTTGAAACTTATAACTGCCCCGTTTTTGACACACACAAAGCTTTGAACTATTTTTCAATTTGAAATTGTGCTCAAGACCATTTAAACATGATTTCACATAATTCAAATAACATACACGTAGAACAGGATCTACCCGTGACCTCAATATGCGAACTACGCAATTAATTAAATTCTCCTCACAACAGAGCCTAATTGAATTTAGTCGTCGACTATTAATTTATATTGCAAACAACCCATAACACTAGAACTATAATTTAAGGCATATGGATAACGCAATTAAATTCACGTGAACACGGTAGATGGATGTTGGTAAAGGCTTATCCAATATCCGAATTGAGTTCAACTGACAATGACACAAAGGATTTCGCTGGTGCCGGCTAGAGCACTTTGTGAACGTAGCCAGAACACAAATAAACGGTACGCATCGCTTTTAACTGTTGGTTTACATTGCCAATAACAAAGACTTATTAATTAATATATGTATAAATTAAATAAAAGGAAACAGTTGCCTAATTCCTAATTGTAATGTTTCCTGTTCTTATGTGTATGATGGCAGTTAAAAACGACAAAACAATATTGCGTATGAATTTTACACTGTAACCTAAATTACTGCCCATATAAATTAATTTAGTGTATATAAATTGCATAACCTAATCACACGATCACAAAACGTGAGTAAAGCCTTATAAATGTTTTACCAAAACAATGCGAACACGTAAAATGGCACAGAGGTATTGTTTACTGAATAACAGCCAGTGCTCTATCGAAACCAACCTTGGGTGTTTGCTAGTTTCTTATTCAAAAGTTCGTCTGACGGAAAATTCGACGAAAGTAACTGAAGTTTGAGCGACGGAACACAATGCGAACAAAGTTGGAACGATCCAAACAATATTTGTTCAGATACCCACGCACGAAACTTGCGAATTACAAGTTGGCAGCCAATATAAAGTTAGCTCTGAATAATAACATTCCTTTGGGTTTATCTTTGCAAAATTTAGAGATACATTACATGCCTTACTCTTAACGATTACAAGTTTCAATCTATCAGCTACCACATCATACGTTTTATTAACGTTTACTTTATTCAGTCTCTTTAGAAAGCACGAAACCTTGTGAACTCGTTTTACAATTTATGCAAACCATCGCTTCGCTCACTGCTTACGAGATGCGAAATTTCAGCTTTTTATTATGTAAATATGTTGCCTAAAGGCCACAAAATTAAATATATTTTGAATTATTCACGGTATAATCAACGCGCCTAATTCCCAGAATATACATATTTAAATAAAGTATATATGTAAAATAGCGGACAGAGGGGAGCAAATATTGCGAAATACTCATTGATATGACCGAACTAGTCAACATACGAATGTTCGCATAAACGTGTGCACGATACGTGTGTAAAGCAAAGCAAACATTGGTATCTGTGTACGTGGGTAAATTACATAAAAAGTCTATTTGGAAAAGTTATCGCTGGGACATGAGCATGAGAGACGTATCACATCCGTAGAATGTGTAGTTGCATTACGAAAGAGCAGTGCGTCATTCCCGGTGATTTATATGACACGTACATTCCACATCCCTCTCCTCGTCTCCGTGCCTTCATTCCCGGCGGGCAGTCGCCATCCTGTGACGTCACGTCGTGTCACATGCAGCGCTAAATGAAAGCACGTTTCATCGGTTTTTATCGGGTCACGTTTTGAAGAATAAAGACATGTCTTTTCATTTAATAATTTTAATTTTATCAAGTTTATTTCGCAATTTCATAAATTCAAATACCCTAAAATGTAACGATCTAAAATTCTATAAGTATAAACAATTGGGAATAGAAACACCAGCTAATTGAATGAACGCTAGCCAGCTAATTGAAATTGCAATGAAGCGGTCTACTTTATTAAGCTAATGCCAGCTTGCAGTTCCTGAATGCAGCCCATTTACTAGAACCACATCTAGGAAATCCGTGCAGGAATAAAGGAGGGATTAAAACTGTACCTTCGGGCGAGATGTTTGTGCGAGAGAGAATAAATGATGTCCATATACGGGAAAACTACCTTTGGCTTTACTATTGCAGATGCAAACGTAGTATTCATAGTTCAAGACGAGAATTGTATATCAGACAGTTAAACGATTAAAGGTTTTAGGAAAGCAAAGAAGAAAAACAAAGCAATTAACGAATCGTTCAAATAAAGAATTATGTGCAATATTGACATTGTCGGTGTGTATAAGAATGAACATCAACAGTGAATAATTTATCACAATGTAAGGCATTTGACCGTAATGTACCTAGTAGGTACAGTCTCTTGATTGTACATCAAACTTGATATTTTGGACTTTGGGTTGATCTTCTTGCAACCAGCATTGAGTTGAATTTAAATCTTAGGTGTCAAACTTGATGTGCTCTTTTACAATAAAAAATTAATTTGTATTCAGACTATAGGTATTCCTTTATTAGATAAAATATTTTAATAGACAAAGGACATGCAGTCATATGAGTACTATGACTGCATGTTTGCAATTAATACGTGAAGTCTTAATCAACTTCACACATTAACTGCATGCAGTCGTTTTCGGCTGCACGAAGTCGGTTTCGACTGCATGAAGTCGGTTTCGATTCGTTATCCGACTGCATGAAGTTGATAACGTCTTCACACATTAACTGCGTGCAGTCGAAACCGACTTCATGCAGCCGAGATCGACTGCATGCAGTTAATGCGTGAAGGTGGCGTGAAGATTCGTGGTCTCTGCTGCATGAAGTTGATTACTACTTCGCGCATTAACTGAAAACATGCAGTCAGTCTGTTAGCAGCCTTACTTTTAATTTGTGAGTATTTCTTACTACGAGCATTTATTACGTAGAGAAAGACCTTACAAAAAAATTAAAGATCATTTCATGGCTCAATAGCTCGCAACCTTATTCATCCTCAAAGACTTTTAAAGCACAAAAAATTGTACAGGCTCAAATTGTGACAACAATAAAAATTGTAGAAACCTATCGCAGATTTGTAGATATTACATATACGTTTTATTAAAGCTTTCAAAAATTGATAATAACTACATAAAAGCGGCGTGTCTTTTCGATACTAACGGAGTATATCTATATATATTTAAACATCTAGGATAATACAAATAAAGGAAATGGAACCATCCATTTCCTTTATTTGTTGTTAACTCCTCAGATAACCGGCAACAAATAGCGTTTTCGCCAATTCAAAGGTACAGAGTTGTTGGAAAAGAGAAGCCGCATTCAAACACTACAGAGAGCATATACACCTAAATGCTTTGAATCCTATCCTATTAAGAACGAGCCAGGTGAATCCCAGGGGAGCCTTTGTAGCCGTTACGTATATTGCCCTGCTTCGTATCAGCCGATCAAGCCAATAGGCGAAACTACGTATTTCCACGCACATATGGGCATGAGTAATATCTATATAGATAGCTATGTAGCTAAAGAAACTCTGTAACATTTCCAATACATACTTCTGTCAATATTGTACCCTCTATGCTAAAGACTTTCGTGTTGACGTTTGTTTAGTCATAACTTTAATAAAGACGTTAATATACGTGTATTCAAGCATCTCGTCGTAAAGAAACTGTAACGTAATATATCTGGCCTTGAGCGTCATATTTTCGCCTCGGGCGGCTACCTACTTTCTTCTTGTTATAAAGAATAATCAGTTTGATAGAGATTGACGCTTTCAATTGTGTTAAAATTTCGTACCTGTGGGTTGTGGTGGTGGTTCGCTCAGTGCGATCTGTCCGTTGCTCTTCACAGCTGATTTCTTTCTTCCTCCTGTCGTTGCTGGACTCTTCGTACTCTCACGCTCTACCCTCTGAAAAAAAAACACATTTTCAATACTAAAATAAAAAAATAACACCGTTTGACAGAATAGGTTCTCATTTTCTTTGAATGATAAAGGCAAGGAAATCTGTCTGTCCTATTTCGCCCACGCTGCATAGTGTTCAAAAGGTAAAGTTTGAACACAACAATCATAAAAAGAATACGGCAAGAAAATTGTTTATCCATAAAAATTGGCGTTTTTACAAGGATACTACCTAATTAGGGAAGCATTTCGCTCTCATTAAAAAGTAATTTAGGTCAACCTCTAATCTCGAGCATCCGTTAGACGGTGTAATCGGTGAACTTAAACCTTTGGAAGAAGTCGTGAAAATTTAATCAAACGTAAGCGTTTGAAGTAACGACGACGTAACAGTGCGCTCTTTTAAATAGAATCATTGAGTCGTGAAGGAGCAATCCACTTATTTTGGCTGACGGCGGGCGATCCCGTCGGAATTGCCGCGTCATGGCTGGCCCGGCGCTGAGTCATGCCGGACTCAGCGCCAGTAGTGCCGACTCAGCTAGGCGGTCACCGCACCTCGCAGCACCAGCGCTGACTCGCAAGAATCATTCGTTCGCCGTAATGCACTAATACTGATTGATAACCGATAACGATACAATGAACGTCAATTAAGAACCGCCACTACTTACTTTGATAAATATTTAGATAATAGAGGAAAGGAACAAGTAAAAGAAACCAATATAGTAACGCCAGAAACAGGCCTAACTCCATAATTAAACACCGAAGGCAAATATATATTTGCATCAAGGCAAACAAAAGAAAATCTCAATAAATCACAGCCTCAGTGGAGTAACAGGGGATTTAATAAAAACATCGAGCCGATAGCAGCGTGGCGACAGCGACACAAAGGGCGATCTACTATTTTAATTAACATACTGATAGAGAGCAGGAAGAATTATATACCTATAAAATTGAAAAGAAAAATAGGAGGTAGAAACAGTGTACACCAAGGTATACGTAGAAACAACGTAAACAAAATTTAAGAACATTCGTCACCTTCTTATTGTTATATGTACCTTGCAATAGACAATTTCACGTGTTTGCAAAGAACTTTCGCTGTAAATATCGACTCAGCTGACCAAGTGTTTGCAATAACAAAATATACGCCAAAAAGCGTGAAAGAACCTTGGAGGGTGCCGGCACACGAAATGCTAAATACTTGTGAAAAATGGAGCAGAGTTGGGGGAATGGGGTAACTGCCCCTATTGGGGGAAGTGGGGTGTGGAGGCCGACGGTCGCGACTGTTTATGTGCACAGCGAACATTGTGCTTTGACAGCGTGCCGCGTCATCGGAAAATTGATAAACAACCTATTTGTAAACATCTGCCAATGGGGACTTAATCTGGCAACTTAGTGTTCATATTAAGTCAAGATTGGTCATGGTTTACAACATAACCAATAATACTAACATAAAAATAACAAATACGGTGTGGCTAACAACAAATAAAGTAAACATAATGAATGGTGGTTTTATCAACAAATGGAGTTATTGAAGTTCGTTTGCAACGGAAAAAACCGATTTGAATTAGAGTAACCTTGTATTCAGCGAACAGTTTCGCAACTGAAACAATTGTTGTTCGCTGAAACATTTAAAACGAATAGAAAGTTTCAAAGCGTTAATTATAACTTTAGAAATCGTATTCAACGGACGGGGAAAGTTGTAAGTCATTTAGACGTTTCGAGTAGCTATTGTCGTTATGATATCACGTTTGATGCACACAATCTTAATATGAATGAATGTTTATTGGCGAGGCACATGGTATCGATTATTTGATTCTGAGAAACCATATTAATGTTATCTATTTTGTCATTCCAATTTCCTAGTATGATATTTTTATTAGTTTAGCGGAAAAAGTAACAGATATATTGTGATAATACGACGGATGCCGTTTTTATAACATTCCGATATCAAAATGACCTAATATAATGCAGGAAAAATAATCTTGAAATATGAACTATGACGAAATAATTGTTAAAAGAATTCTTTAGCGCCTTCAAATGTCACAATTACAAGATTGAATAAAAAAAACTCATTGAGTTTTTCAAATTATACTACAGGCCAGGAATAAAATCATATTTAAATGAAACTCAAATGGCTAACTAGTACGTAACCGGACCGATATCTACAACTGTCAGTTTCTTAACGCCGAGCGACATCTAATAGCCAAAAAAAAGATTTTATATACCTACGTACAGATACGTCTACTACATTAAATTAGTTCACGTCTCGATTCGATTTGTAATGAGAGATTAACTGCTCTGTTGCAAAAAATAAAGTAGATAATTTATTTAAAAAAACAATTGTGTCTGAGATACATGACATGGTATGTATTAATTACTTACTTTTTTGTTATTATGGCGTAACTTCATGCCTTTTGACCAAAACTTATAAAAAATATTATTTTCCTCTGAACTTTCGTCAAGTTACAAAGCCATGGCACCATTCAGCTTCTATTAACTCTATTTAAGGCTTCTGTAGTTTATTTTGATATTATAACACATCTAATATATTTTATTCAATTATGTAAAACATAACGTCCAAAACTCCAAACGGGAATATCTTTAATTCCCGACTTTTCAGAATAATAAACCAAAACCAAATTTGTTCAGGAATTTAAATTCTATAATCTATGTATTATATATCATAATATTTTCACATATTTTTCATAAAACGACGCAATCAAATTTTGTCAACAAAAATTTATATGGGAGTTGGCCGTTGTTCTTACATGTAAAAATAGAAGTATAATTTATAATGTCGTTAAAAATTCTAAATACCTATTTGGGATATTTTGCTGACACAAAACAAAGCGCAAGTAAATCTAAGTCTAAGTGAAAGTTAAACGTACTATAGAGAAAGTCCGTTATGACCTACGCAATGCAAAGTGTGCCACGGTTGCGCTTGCACAACTGCATAGACTACTGTTTAGTTCCAATTCGCCAGACTTGTCATTTTGGGGAAATATCTTACGACGTCAATACCAGCTTGTACAGAGATGATAGTCCATTGGTTTACTTTTATTTCTAGTCATTTTGTAACAGAACGAGAAAAAATCATCTAATCAAAAATATATGTATGTTGGTATTTTTAAAAGAACTGGGCTATTGAAAAGGTGAACATTTTCTTAGATGTTAACTGGTAATAGACATAAAAAATAATCAATTGTTATTCAGGCAAATCTAACTGACGCTAAACATAACATGGTGAAGTCAGAAGTAAAACAAATTCAACGCAATATTCGTGAAAACGAACGATCCGTTTTATATCACTTTACCCTTAAAGTCATTCACCCTTAGGGATCAACCCTTTGTCTACCCCTTTATCGTATACTTTGCGCGTGACAGACAAAATTACTCTATAGGGAACTAAGATCTTTTGTAATATTCATGGTACTTGTCGGTGAGTAAGCCGTGTGCACATAATTTGGAATTATAATCTTTATCTATATACTATACGTGGTACAGTATACTGTGAATAAATAAATATTCTTACAACAACGATGTGATTTGGGAGGAGACATAAAAGAAAACCAATCTCAAGAAATGTAGGAAATATTTTTTTCAAGCTTCGTAATACCACTCGACTTTTACTAAGGTATAAAATTTTCAGTCTACTTCCTTGAGCCTTTTAATCTGACTTTCATCTACAATTGCTACATTCTACTTACATGAAAAATTTAAACATAATAGTTTAAAAATGAGAATCTTATAAAAAAGATCATGCCTTCAAAACGTGAGATATGAACCTGACGATCGCATTAAGTTTAATTTCGAGTTTAAGAATAACGCGGTTCAATTCACCTCATAATTTGATGTAGTGTAATTCCATATATATATATTTATTTATATTCCATATCGTTTTTACGGTTTTCTATCAAGAGGCGACGAACAACGACTCGGAATTTGTTTTAAGATAGTTCTTGGAAATCGAATTTAATATAACAACATAATTCGTATCAATATGCAAGAGATTATTTAGAAGTCGAGAGCAATTAACGCGGCCCTCTGAAGCGAATCCCAATTCGACATGGCCGTAATGGGTCCATATAAATTGGTCCAGGGGATGGCATTGCTTCGTCTTTGTGGGGGCCATTAATAGGGTCTATGAGGCAATTTTGTAAGATGAGTTAACAGTTTAAAGAAATGAATCTTTTTGATATTAAACTTAATATTTATTTTGCTTATTTGATCAAATATTACTTTTAAGTGCTTTTCAGAAGAATTGCGTTCTAAATCAAGAGTACGTACGTACACAGAGTAGACACGACACAAATTAAGAAATTTGTGATAGTTTGAAATGTACTAAAAAGATACCGTTATGCAGTTAACAGTCAAAACAGTTTATTCCAGCACACTAATATAAATTGTTATATAAACGTTCCAATGAACAGAACGCAATATATACAAACCAAAATAACTAAACTAAAATCATAGATTTTTTTTATAATAAAGCACAAAACTGAACAAATGCAAACATACCATTAATTTCAGCAATATTTGGCTATATTTATATCTTGAAAAACGATAGCTGCATATTACTATGTACCTGCTGAGTATATAACTGTGCAAATCCAGGCTAGAGTACCACTACACGGCCGTGCGTTTGCGAGGTAGGCTTTGATATTACCGACAGAGTATTGTTATATACTCACCCTGAGTATTGTGGTCCGGATTTTATTTGAATGTGTATTCATACAACTTATACACGCATATTAAGAACGTCACACACAATTTATTCGCCTAATATATATGGTCGAATTAGGTTTTAAAACACAGGTAACGTTTTTCTTTTTCATATAAAATTGAGGGTGTACTTTTTTGGGTTTGAAGCATTTAATAATATTTAGAACATCGTCGGCTAAATTCGAAACCTCGTAATCTCTATTAATGGGAACTTTTGGTTAAGCACAAAAACAGAAGTAATACTAGAAATAATTATAAAACAATCTTCTTAGATTGTTATACCTTAATAT